TGAGTTTTGCTGTTGTTCCATGCATACGGTATTTTGCATTTTGTATTTAAAATCGGTACCCAGGTCGGTCGGTCCGTTCACATTATTGGTAATCGAATGAGAATCTAGCATTAAGTCGATTTTTTTTTATTAAAGAATAAAAATTGTATATATATGTTTACGAAATGGGATGGACAACAAACAAATGCGTCTCCTTTTCTATTTTGTAATATAACTATGGTCCTTGGATTCGATTTATTAATGAAATAAGTGTTCATTTATAATGAAATAATGAATATGCCTATCAACTGACATCTTATGCCATGTTAAACAGGATCTGGAATTTAGTTTTCAACCAATTATAAATCTTAGGGAGTATACTAGGTTGTAATTTTGTACTAATGACAAAGTTACGAAAGCATAGGCACAGGACTTATAACTTAGTGTGTAATTTGAAAGGAAAGAGTATTTCTAGTGTTATCGAATATCTTCACTACTCTTCTACATAAAAACTTTTGAAAAACCGGACCGGGACACACTGTTAAAAAAACTGTTTTAGGGAGTCTGTAGAGCTCATAACTTATATGGACCAATTAAACTCGGTTTTTATTTTATATGTTCTTTGTAACAAGATATACGTGTACAAATATTTTTACAAAAATTCGATTTTTAGTTTTCAGATTGATATGAAATTCACTCAACGGTGGCATTCCGCTTTTTTGTAGGTAAAAGAATTTTTTTTTTGCTAAAATTTGTGATAAAAAGATATACCAAAATCTAGAAAAATGTGTCCCTGAATAATGAGAATTTTAACATAAGAAATCTAGCCGTTGAACGCCAAAACTATTCTATAAGCTAATGACGTAGGCTTAGGCTACACATTACATAAACTTTGTATTGTTTTTAGTAATTGCAAGAAAACTACTGTACGTATTTAAGCAAATTAAAAGCTTTATTTTAGAGAAATATATGTCGCCTAATTTTTCTGAAGGTTCCAACTAAAATTATTGAGCCATTAAAAAGACAAACATCAAAACTAGGTCAAACTAATTAATTAACGTATTGAAATAAAATTAAGTTTGATCCAGTAGATACATAGATATTAATAGCGAAGAAAAAGGCGAGAAAGCGAGGAAAAAGGCGAGGAAAAAGACGAGAAGGCGAGAAAGCGAGGAAAAGGGCGAGAAGGCGAGAAAGCGAAGAAAAAGGCGAGAAAGCGAGGAAAATGCGAGAAAGCGAGGAAAAGGCGAGGAAAATTGCGAGGAAAAATGCGAGAAAAAAGGCGAGGAANAAGGCGAGAAAGCAAGAGTAAAAAAGGGAGAGGAAAAAGGCGAGGAGAAAGCGAGAGTAAAAAAGGCGAGAAGTCGAGAAAGCAGAGAACATTTTCCTCGCTTTCTCGCCTTTTTTCCCTTGCCTTTTTCCTCGCTTTTTCGCCTTTTTCCTCCTCTTTCCTCGCCTTTTACCTCGCCTTTTTCCACGCCATTTTCCTCGCATTTTTCCTCGCTTTCTCGTGGGCGAGAAGTCGAGTTTAGATATGGCCGCAGCCGGCTTCCATAGACTTGCAGCTTCTCTGCTTGATGGAGGAAGAAACGTTGATTTTGGCAGGCCTAGGCCAGAGTTGATAACCGCAAACGACGCTAGCGTTGTAGAAGGTTCTGGACACGTCTATGGCTACTGCGACCTCAATACTGGCACTACGAATGTCTCATGGCTGAACTAGCTGCTGAAGACATGGATGGGTATCGAAAATTTCAAAGAGTCCCTCCAGACATGTTTCATGAAATCCTTGGAGGAGTATAGGGCCCAGTATTTCAAGGAAAGATACCTTCTTTAGGACAGCCCTTGAGCCAGGACTACGTCTGGTGCTGACACTGATATACCTGGCAACATGGAGTTTTTAACGATTCTATATCTAGGATTATCCCTGAAGTATGTGAAGCAATCGTGAAGGAATATATTAGTGAAATGATGATCTGTCCTACCACTCCTGAAGGATGGAGCCAAGTAAGCGAGGGTTTCTCCCAAAGATGGAATTTTCACAACACCATCGGAGCATTGGATGGAAAACACATTCAACTACAAATGGTTTCACTCCATAATTCTGATGGCCCTCGTAGATGCGGATTACACGTTCATCTATGTTGATGTTGGTGCTGATGGAAGGTATGCTATAAAATGAATTTTATAAACAAGTATGTATTTATTATGAGATGTTGATTTTCACACTGTTAGTTCTTTCTCTGGATTTTTACATAATTAAATTCAAATTCCAAGTTTAAAACAAAGGTTATACGTCATGTCACCCATAACAGTTAAATCTCGACAGACATACTATGCCAATCTACATGAACCTGTCACCGATGTTAAAAAAGGAAATAAGTAAAAATGGCAAACTATTCCAAACATACATAATACACAGTATACATAATAACTTAAAGGGAAACTGTCCCGTAATTTTATACTTTGATAGCTGATACTAATTAACGTGAAACGAATATGGTGTCATTACAATCTTCTAATTGATAACTCGTAATAGTGGACAAACATAAGGTCCGATTTCAATTTTCGGAAGCTGATATTATCAGCTATCAATGTATACAATTACGCGACTGATTCCCTTAAAACCAACGATTGAAAAGTCATAAAACAATGGCACACCCACGACTCAACAGGTAAAACAGTAAATGCTTAAGAATTACACAACTTAAAAGTCACTTTGCCCATTTGGGTTCAATAGGCTACTGAAACTGAACTAAGCTTCACCACTACTCACACTTGAAATTGTTGACATAAGATCCAGGGTACCATCAGACTGAGTGTCGGTTTCCATACTTTGCTCGGAAACAACTCTAGATATAATCGGCAAATGCTCGTTAACAGCTCTTGCTACTCCTACACCTCGTGCTGCTTGTGATGTCCCGAACATATGTCGAGTTTCCAGAGCCCCTTTTGCGAGCTCTGTGAGTTAATTACGAGTTTCACAACAGCCAAGTTTACCAGGAGTGCCTTCTGAGGGTATTAGGGTGGGACGTACTCCGCTCGCAACTCCTGAATTGATTAATTTCCACCCTCTTTGCAATGGATCTATGGTGTTGGTGTAAATGCACTGTTACAGAGACAGGAAATTGGTCCACAGAGTGTTGAGGTCGAAATAATAGTCCCACCGAACCGGGCTGTTTTGGCGACGGAAAATTAGTTCTTTGTGTATTAAGATTGCTATAAGCCTGGTGGTATCGTGAAGGAAGTGTCAGATATCGTACGGTGGGCACTATTGTCGCCAATAATCACATGCTTCGTCGCATCTCCATGGACGCAATATAAGTGAAATGCATAGATTTATTAGAAACGTGCCTTGGGAACGCAATATTGTTGCGTAAATAGAAATTTGAGTGACTGTTGTAGATTATTCAATTTTATGTGACTTTTTATTCACGTTATTCCGGCGTCCAAGTACATCCCAAATGGTCGCCGTCCGGTGTGACGGAGCTTGTAGGAGACTCCAGACAACGTGCGTAGTCGCCATTGTCGCTGAGTCATGGCGTTTGTTTTGGACATTATGATTATGCTGTTTCTGTGCTATGCTATAAAACTGTCCTTTCATATTTCAGGTTACAGGACCGCTAGTAAGAAACCAATAAACGTGGTGGTAGTGCTGTTGGTAATCCTTTCTAAGCTCAAAGATTTCAATAAAAACGTCCTAAATAAAAAAAGTCTTGGCAATTTAATTGAAATTGAAATTGAATTGATCTCCTATTGGAGCTACCAAACACACAAATCCCCTGCCAATTGACGATGCCTGACAATGTGTCAAGATATTATATTTGCTGTTAGTTTACTATGATTTGAATGCAGAAATCACTGAATAATTAATTTTATCATAACACATTGTGATTTGTATACAATTCAGACACATCAGATATGTGAATATTTTATGAATTAACAATTACAACATGTGTATACTATCTATGACTTATTCAACTATATTTGTAAAGTGACTGAACGAAAGCGAATGTATTTATTCCTTTGTAAATGTAGCGAGGTTCGTGTTCGTAACAAGACAAAACAAGAAGGTGAAATCACACTTTAACTAACTAAGTAACTTTAAGTAACTAGAATACGACCATATTATTCGAATAATATGGAAACATTCGCTGAAGGTAATGCCCCCTCAAAGTTCTCTAGGTGTACAGTTATTATGTTATTTGAAATTGCAATTGCCAAGAAGGCGATACAGGCTACAAAGTTTCCCGTGACAAAGGAACACACTGAAAATAAACTGGTGAGTTTTGTTCAATTTGATAACAGTAGTTTTATTTCAAAAGATAATGAAATTGTTCTTTTTTGTCTATCTGTTATATGCAGATTTATACAACATCGTGATAAGTATCAGTATAGAACAAACATTCTTTTGAAGTCATAAAATGCACCTCTTACCGTCACATACAATATCTGTTCCGGACCAAATACCATTTATGCATGTTCTTTGGGTGTCACCACTTGTGCGATAATAGCCTGTTTCGCATTCTGTTCTGAATTCTGTCAGACTATTATTAGCTGAGCTAATTATAGCGTTTGGTATGAATAGTACAGGGCACTCTAAAATACATAAAAGTCTTGATCTTACTAATAATAAATGAATACGGAGTTGTCAAAATTTGATGTTAATCGTGAATGTTATTGAAGGACTTCTGCATAGGCATATTCTGTTGTATCAACACGATCGAATAACAACTCAAGTCTCCATGCAACCTGAGATTTTGTTATGCCATTAGAGACAGTTTAATTATATCTGACGTCAGCCTATCACATGATCAATCAAATGTGCGGACTACTACAGAGAAAGCTCAAGTGATGGCGAAGAGGAGTTCTTATTGTTGTTGTTATTATTACGTCGTAGACGTCGCAGACTGTCTGCAGCTAGTCGCAAGACATGGTGTAGGGTCTGGATACGAAGGAGACGACAGCAAGCAATATACCAAAACATGGTCAACGAGCTTAATGCAGAGGACCCAGATCAATTTCGTACTATGTTTCATCGTTTGGATAGGGACTCATATGAACGAAACAAGTTAAATTTTTTCCATGAAGTACGATTTAATAAAATCAAAGATAGCATTTGAAACATGAAAATCAATTAACCTGGATAAAGCATATATTAAAAAAATCTGAAGAAATATTGTGTTTTATGCAAGTGTAAATTAATTTATTGATCATTTAGAGTATTCTATTTGTTGAAGTCGGATAAGGATAATATTATTACTTTTTAATCTTTTATAAAAGAAGTCCACGGTCGTAAATCGTGATATAATTGAAAAATCATATTTTATTTTCTCTCTAAAAGGGATCGTTAAAAATTCGGTCAATAATAATTAGAGGAATGACAAATTAGCGACACGTAATCAATTCTGGATCTATATAGTCTTTCAAAAGTATGTTGGGGCAATTATTCATTCTTGACTACCAAAGCAATTAGAGTACCAAACCAAACAAACACCAGAAATGGATATTTTGGAACTCACTACGGATTTTTATATTGAAATCGAATAATTAATGGTAATTCTGACAAGAGTTGTCCATTATGTTTAAAACAATGGTAACGGATAGAATTTAGTGGAGTGTTACAATAATCAATATCATAATCTGTTAACGTTAATTAGCAAAGAGAATACCACACTGCGCCATATTAACCCTGGCATTACACTAATTGTCATGGTCATAATTTTCAAATGAAAGCAAGTAAAATGCAACTTAGGGAAAAGTGCAATGTAAATCAGGTAGATTTCAATATTTGAATGTAATGGTCAGTTTTGTAATGAAATTACTTTACCTCAACAATTACAGGACGTGACTTAAATGATTGTTAAGATTATGTTATGTGAAAGTACTTCGGAAGCTCAATTTATCCGTTTCATAGAAAGCTGTGAGGTACTTGATTTCAGACTAGAATCAAGCGCATACTTAATATTATGCTGAGAGTTTTGATTGCATGCTGATGAAGCTTGATATTCGTTATAAAACACATTGAAACGCAGACGCAACTCTATTAATATCTCAGTCACACAGGCCAGTTTTTATTACCGTTCATGGCAATAACAATCTTGATTAGAGCGATTAAAATCGTCAATCTAGTTGATTTTGGATTCAGCACGCAGACACAAATACAGGTGTATCTTCAGTGCAACGAAATCCGATGGATCGGAAAAAGTCCTGTCGCAAGTTACTAGCATGAGGCTTGGGGTGGCACTTTTATGAACAGATTCGATGTAGACGGTTTACAATCGCATTCACTGGTTTGATTATACGATCGTATTTGTATTGTGCCAACCGGATAGTTTTCAATAGCCCTTTAAATTTTACCATTATTTTTAGCACCTATTATATTATATTTACTATGACAATGTAATCAAACCAATTTGCAACCAAAATATTGTTAATTCCTAATTTATTTTAGTTATATTGGACATATCATTAAAATATCTGAAAACAATATTTCAGATCGTTTTAAAAAGTAACTATTATAGTTAATATTCAGACCAGTACAGACAGTGACTGAGCTCCACTCACTGGGATACATAGTATGTAAGTCCACAATTTACGGTCATCAAGAATCATCTACAATGATTGGGACACTGGAAAGCAGTTACAGACATATTTTTATTTAGCTGAACCGGTTTCATAACACTACAAAAGTTTGGCAAATTAAGAGGTTAGGTGATCTGCAGTTTAAAAACTAGCGCACATGTCAAAACATATATTAATGGAGGAATTAAACAATTGCATTCTAATCAATGATCCTTCTGAATATCATTTACCTACCAGATTTAACTCTTTCCACCCCATTCCACACTAATAAAAGAAGAATATGGATTCTACTCATGTTTAAATTCTTCCACAATAACAAGAATCACCATGTTCATATTCTCATACTTTTCGGTTGACTGAAAATCAAACAAAAGATCCATTAGACATCATATTAAAAATGTTGTGGTGATGATAAGACAACAATACGAAACCCATGCATGTTCTTTATCTCAGGGTATCACTGTATATTACTTCTCAAAGAAAAATACGTCAACTTGGCAGGGGAAGGGAGGGGGGGGGGGGAGGGGGTGTCTCGGTCCATTTTCCCCTTGTAGCCACAGGCCTAAGGCCTGCGTTTTCAGGTGTTAATCTTTACTGCATTTCCACTGCAGATGACGGTGTACGAGAAAGAGGTTAACTTTCACACAATTGTGGACTTATCGAACAATGAATTACTGAAAAATGAACTCCTTACTAGATGGACTTTTAGGATATGAAACAGTTAATTCGTTGTTCAGTAAGTTCATTCAGAGAGTATTGGCATCCTTCATTGCACTCAAGTATTGACATAATTTCTAAAATGCATCCCCTCCTGCGATATCCAGTAGTCTGTCTTTTGCCAGACTTTTGTTAGTTTGATGACCTGCTCCAAAATGAAGTTTGCAATCATGATGATATTTTGTATTCGCTGACAACAAATCACACTCAATTGAATTCAAAGTTATATTTTCCCATCATCTTTTCTGCGTTTAGCACCTTGAATCTCGTCGAGATGTTTTTTTTTCTGTTAAATGCTGATTTTTTCGTAAAGCTCAAAATGGAATTTAATATGTTTTTGTGATTACTTTCCTAAACCATTTTGAAAAGATTAGTTTTATAACATTTTCCCCCTTTTTTGTTCTAATGCTCCTAGACTACTGTTGAACATACTGAACAATTCAATTGGTATGAATTTGGTAGAGTACCAAATGACCTTCCCCACGTTCTTGTCATCTCATATAGGAAGATGGAATGTTGTCGTGACAGCAGGATTTTTGTAATTTTTTCGTAAAATGCTTAAGAACGATATACATCTTTACACCTTGTTCCTTTTGTTCAACATGGTGACAGTTACAGAAGTAAAACTTGATGATCTTAATTACAAGTTAAGTCATTTACGCTCGAATATAGCTCATTTATAAATCTTGAAAATCTTAATTACAAATTAATACAAGTTGTTCAAAACCTATTCTGAGAAATTAAAACCTTAAAACATACCTGACACGAATAATGCTTCTTCTCCAGAGTACGTTATAACATATTTTTAAAGAAGATATCAGTTATGAATGTATCAATACTTGATGGATATTATTGGATAGAAATCTGTAAAAATCAATAGTGAACGCACAGATCAATTAAATAACTAGATCCACAGGCTTCGCGTGGTTCTGAAGCAGTGCGTAACAGTTTTGATTTTACGCTTAAAACTGTGCCGCAAAGTATCGTAACAGTAACATAATTTTCTATCATAAAATTAACTGAATATAGATCTCCCAAACGCAAAGCATATTCGACAGATCGCTTCAACTCACATTGTTTTCAACAGTTGAAGGGAGCAAGCTCCGACAAACAACCTTTATCTTTCAGACTACAAAAGGAACACCGACCTCTTTTTCAAGATAAAATTCATCAATTTAAAATGCCGCTAAAATCGGAAGTAAACACCGTACAATAAACGTTAATATACCATTGGATAGATCTCGTCGAGAGCTATCAAAATTGTTCTGGTCACATGATCACCAAAGGTCAAGGTCACGATATACGACCCTTCAAAGTATTCATATTTTTCAAACGGAAATAAATACAAAGCAAAATCAAAATTCAAAAATCGGTTCTCAAATATCATTTAGCAATCGATAGTAGATATCATAGATATCAAATTTACACAAATTGGATTACACCCCGAGGTCCGATTTCGATTTATAGAAAATTACGCACGGTTAATATAAAAGAAAGTACAACATTTTCAAATATTAAAAAGCGCAATTTTGATCGAAATATCTAGTATTATATATCTTTACAAAGAGCAGATGATCACTAGTAAGATTCAATAAGAATTTTTGGTGTATGTAAATTAGGTCACGTGTCAGAGCTCTTTGAAGATAAAAATCGTAATTTTCAATCGGCTATAAAACCGGAAGTAAACATTGCACAGCACAAATGAGTATATCACTGGATAGATATCAACACGAGCAACAAATTTTGTTCAGGCCACAAGGTCACCAAAGGTCAAGGTCACCAAATAAGAGCCTTTGAAATTTTTGTCAATACTGAAATAGAAGAAAAGCAAAATCTAAATTCAACATTCGGCTTCCATACTTTTTTCGCAATCGATTGTGATATCCAAATATACCAAAATTATCAAAAGCGCTCTTTACCCTGAGGCCTCATTTTGAATTTTACAAAAGTTTGACATATCAATATGGCGGCTACACTGTTACTTCCGGGTAAGATTTTGTAATTAGAAGTTTTTTGTATGACTATTTGTAACATATTGCAAAAAGAATTTTTGAACTATCTTCAAAATTCCGGAAGTTGAATTTTATATTTTACAAGCGAATAGCGTCAAAACCGGAAGTGATATCGAAATATCGAAAATTAGTTTTTGTTCGCAATAAAAGTGTCTATCTGTATGTAAGTTTTCAAATTGATCGCAATAGAATTGTAGAAGTTAGATAAAAGGCTAAAAAACTCTAAAATTGGAGCTAAAAAAGTCATCTATTTTTTCAATTGCTATCATGTAGTCATTAGCGCGAAGTAATAAACAGTAAAGTTTGAGCAATTTCAGATCAGTATTAAAGCTGATTAATGGAAAAAAATGAAAAAAAGCCATTGTCCACCGCCCATTTCCGGTTATTCAAATTGGTGCCAATTTACATTTTTAACAAATAGTAGTCAAATATTTTGACTACAAAACAGCAACAGGCAGTCTGTAGCATGATCCCTTCTTAGAAAACAAGCTTGGGTGAAATTCGAAAAAAAAAAAAAAAAACTGGAGCCGTAAGCGCAACGACACTGAAGCAGTACGTTGCATTCTGGGAATGTATAATTGTGCTGAATTAATGACATTACACGAGCTTCTTCATAGCATTCCCTTTTATTACTTTGTAGATGTATTACAAGGATATATACCCCTTATGTTTCTAATAAAACTTTTCACTGGTCAACGATACAATTCTAACACATTTTTAAATTATTTTTTCTAAAAATTAAAAAGTATCTTTTTAGAATTGATTTTTTTATTGTGAATTAGATCAGTCTCTTCCATATTTAGAATTTTTGAAATATAGAAATCCACGTTCCAAACATTTGATAATATTCCTGGCACTCGGCTTGTGTTATTGTCTAATTCGCAATATTCAAATGGCTATAAAAACGGATGTAAACATCTTACAACAAAATCAAAGGCACCATGTGATAGATGTCGTCAAGGGCTATGACTTTTGTTCAGGCGACATAGTCACCACAGGTCAAGGTCACTAGATATGAGCCTTAAAAGTTTTGAAAATTGCTGTTTTTGGAAGCCTGTAAAACCGGAAAGAGGTGTCGGACATCATAGATCAAAAGATGAATTGACATTAGAGATCAATGACTTTTGACCTTGAAAAGGTCAAGGTCATCAAAGATGAAGGTCAAAATTGAAAATTTAGTCAATTGTAAAACCTATTCCTTTTTTAAAAGTAAAAAGCCCAAACAGATTTATCTTCCTACGATATTGACCAAACTAGTGACCTATTTTCCTGCAAAATATTATTGGTGAAAAATGTAAACTTTGCAAGTTATGATAAATTACAAGTATATAATATATATGTAAATCTAACCCGGATGTGCCACCCACCCCAAAGTTTTGCTCTGTCAGCTATCATGTGTACAAATGTTAAAAATTTCAAGCATGTACAATTATTAGATCATGAGATATTCGTTGTTATAAGTTAAAAGTTTGAGTTTATACGGCAAAAACCAAATTACGCACAGTTACTATAGACGTCAGTGTAAAATTTTAAATTTTAAAAAGCGCAATATTGATCAATATATTAAGTGTGATATATCCTCAGAAAGAAGAAATTGCACACATTAAGGAAATGAAATAAATTTTGTCGTATGATAATTAGGCTACGTGGCAGAGCTCTTAAAAGATACAAATTGCGATTTTCAAATGGCTCTAGAACCGGAAGTTAACATCGCTTGACAAAAGTAAATATATTTTTATATAGATCTTGTTAGGGGCCACAACATTTGTGCAGGTCACAAGGTCACCAAAGGCCAAGGTAACTAGATATATGCCTTAACAGTTTTAACAATTACTGAAAAAATAAAACCGGAAATTAAAAAAAAGCAAAGCCGAAATTCAAAAATCGGCTTCAAGAGTTTTGTTAGCAATCGATTACAGATTCTATAGACACTAACATCACACACATCGGCTTTACCCCTAAGGCCCCATTTTGAGTTTTATATAAATTAGGTGTAACAAGATGGCGTCTGATCCTATACTTCCGGGTCAAATTTATTCATTTCACCATCTTAATGGGGACTACTCTAACTAATTGCAAAAAGAATTTTTCAAATATCTGCAAAATTCCGGAAGTTAAAATTTCAACTTTAAGAGCGAATAACGTCAAAACCGGAAGTGATATCGAAACTTTGAAAATTAATTTTAGTTTGCAATCAAAATATCTAACTATCTGTAAGGTTTTATATCGATCGAAATAAAATTGTAGAAGTTGGAAAAAAAGTGAAAAACCTCAAAAATTTAAACTAAAAAATGAGCGACAAAAGTTTAAATTTTAGAATTTCTTAATTGCTATCTTATAGCCGTTAGCGCGAACTTATTAACAAAAAAGATCGATCAAAATCCGATCAAAATTGGAGCCGAAAATTAGCAAAAACGTAAAAAATGGATTTTGTTCTACCTCATTTCCGGTTGGAAAAAAATGCATGAAAATACATTCATCAGATTTAGTCTCGCGGCATTAACGTAAGTAATGTTAACAGTTAACAAAGCAGTTCGAAGAACGCACTGCAATAAATTATTACTTCGATCACAGCTATCTTCATAAATTCCATTGAAGAGTTTTCCAAGTACCAATAATCTGCTTAACATACTATATATTTTCGACAGTGGATGTTGACGACTTGGAAAGACTGACACGATTACTTGATTATCATGTGCATGTCTTTCCAACTACCGGCATGTGCTTATTAATATCGCATCATGAATTAATTACCAGTTCCAGTTTGAGCATGGTTATAGTCATTCAATCAGAATTTCATATTTACATTCAGCTTGCTCCATGAATGTCAACAAGCCGTAAAGGAATTTTTTTTTTTATCCTCGTTTGAAAGTTAAAATTACGACTCGTATTTTCTTCAGACTCTTTAGAAATAGAAAGTGAAATTTCTAGTTTGAGGTTAATATCGAGTTGATTATGCGATTTTCGTGCAGTTCTGTACTTTTGAAAACTGTTTGAAAACCCAAATGGTTTTAGAAGTATACAATATAATTATAATTCAAAGCTACTGGCACGATATAATGAAAGCATAATGAGACACAAACATACAGTTTTAAACCGTGTCCCCAAATGTTTAAAAGCATAAATATCAAAAGAAAAAACCTGACTAAAAGCGACAAAATTATCCTTGCATGTATAGTTTCCTCCTCAGAATTTCGTTTGTATTACATCCGTAGAATTTCAAGGTATTTTGGAGAAATAAGTATTTAGCAATCTGTTGAATATTAGGAGAAAACTACGGAAGTGGGAGGGTTCATGCAATACTAAACTTTGAGAAATATTTTTAAAATGGGAGCTTTTTATTATTCTAGTTAACAGGGGTTAATTATGGTTTAAAGGGGAACAGTTTATTTTTATATGACCTTTAGACACGCCATGTTAGTCAATCAAACCTACTTCAAATGGTCCAGATAGCCATGCTACATACTACTGCACCCTATATGAAAGTCAGGTCAGCCACCCCAACAGTCAGTGGATATCTACACCTTGAACAGTCAACATCGTTAAAAGGATTCGCCGTTTGTGACATTAAGGTACGATTGGTCAAACGGATGGCGAACCCGCCTATTTAAACACAACTCAAAAGTGAAACCAGGTAACCTTGCAACTAGCCTACAGTGTCTTTCAAAACAATAGAAAGGAAGGTACAGGTAAAAATTCTGTAAATCTTAGCAGAAACCCCAATCATTATTTTATACCTCAACATGCACATCACATTTTCACCTATGTAATTACGATAATAAAGCATTTAGACCATGCCCCTTTGATTTATACCATGGTATAACCAACTAAATTTTCAATTATAACACGGACCGGACTACTTTCTCATTCACATTGGTCTTTTGGTTTAAACAGTCTTTATAACGGTAACCAAAATCTTTAATAATTGACAGAACCTTTGGACTAATGTGATCGAAATAAAAGAATAAACCAAAAATACATGACATTTCTGATTATACAATTACATTGACAAGTTGAGGGATATACAAATATTTCCGTTTCGCTTGTTTACTTCTGGCTCTTCACAGGTTTCCAGTTTACGTTTTCACGAACCTTGTACAAGACGACTAATCATAACATCTTGCTTGTTACTTGCTCTTTTATAATTGTCTATTGCGTTACTTTTGTGGCCTGTTCGACGTCTAATTAACTGGTCTTCGGCACCATTTTGATGCAGACAGGTCGCACACGTGGTACGTAAGGAATGGTTTGTGTAAAAACCCGAAAAATCCAATTCAGTTCAAATCTGCGAACAAACCGTTTATCAAAGAGAAAATTTGATCAGAGCTTTGATGAAATGTTCGTTGGCATATAAAAGGTTTGCTCTATACTTGCATAAAAATGGTTGAAAAGCTCACCTTCGAAACAGCTGCTGTATACATTCTCTTTACAGTTTTCGCCATTGTGTTCTGACCAACTGTAGCTATCGAAAAACACTCAGTTTCTTTGGTTTGATTAAAGGAAGCAAGTAAACCATTGGCAGTGCATCTGTTGGTCTCAAATCTAAAAACTTCTTGTATAATTTGACAAAACACCTTTCCGGATATTCATTATTGGCATATGTTCTTACAACCTTTGGAATAACTTAAAAATCTTTCAGTCCTCGTTGATCGCATTTACTGGTTTTTTCTCAACACGTCAAATATTCACCCTCCACATCATCACCGAATTCCAACTGATCAATAGTCACATTCCGATGTTCACAACCACTACGGAGTGCAAAATTGAGACCAATTAATAGAGAACAGTGTGTAATAAAGTCTGTGCGGTAGAATGTCCTAATATCCCCTTTTGTCACATGATTTTTTCTTGCTCAGATGATATGACTTTAGCCTGTGTTACATTGAGTCCATTTTCTTTCAGGGCACCCATCTTCATTGTATTATCCAAAGTGTTTTGCAGTTCAAGAAAAACATGATCGAAAAAAAGTTTCACAGGTCGACTAAGGTTATTAAGGTGCATTTGGTAAAACCCCTGTATTTTTGTATTCGTGATCTAATGGTTTGAAATGCGTAGTTATACACCGAGGCGCCACGCCTACGCTACGCTACGAAACCTTAATTTAATCTATACTTATACGTTTGTTATGCTCTATGATTATTTTGTCAGTCATATAGAATGACAACAGGATAGTTCATCAAATGTGTACAGGTTTGCATCCTCACAAAATAAGGACTACAGAATACAGTATACATATCACTAGTTTTAATGATAAAATTCTTACATTCTATTAAGTAGACTGATGGGTTTGTAACTCTTATTTTTCACAAAGTTATTCTAATGGAAAATTTTAATCAAATTACGCCCTTTCATCGCCCAAGGATATATCGTTTGATATATTTGTATGATGCTCCGTTTATTCAAGGAGATAGGAGTAGACAGCATTTTCCGCATTTGTTCATAGCCACATGACGCCAAATGGTCCTAGATGAACGGATAAAATAATGCATTGAATTTATTCACAGATATTATTTTTTCAAATAGAAACGTGTATTTTTACAAATGTAACATTATGGTTTGTAACGTCTATGTCACAATATATCATCATAAGCAATTGGCAAAATTTCACAGACAATAATGTTTTTGTTAATATACATGTAGTTCTACTCGCAGTATTATACTGTCATACTATACTGATTTATTTCGCAAATAATCCTCATTTTAGTACTATCGTGACATTTTATTTTTACCTACATTCTTTGTATAGATATCAAAATCAAGGTTGGCAAGATTCAAGGTTGGTTTATTTCACTGTGCTAGAAAATGATCGATATTGATAGCTTGAATACTATCGTTAACGGGTGTGTCTTAACTGGGTATTTTAGTGGGACACATTTCATGAACTATATTGTTGTCATTCACTGACATAATAAAGCTAGAAAAAAAAATAGTTAATAGTTAACAAAATGAGCATTATTCACAGTCGTAATATATTTTTATTCATTACTTTAGCCCAATGAGCTTTAAGTAGCTCGTCTTACAGAGGATTTAAATTGCAAATCACTTAATTTTGGGCTAAGATTAACCGAAACGAAACAGACGAATACAGATACACTAGTACTGAAAGCCAGTCAAGCATTATATTAGGTTTTTAATAAACATATGATATTGATATCATTGCCATCATGCCGAACTCAGTAACTAAGAAACTGTTAGTTAATAAGAAAATTCTTTCTAGTTCGCGAACTGTACAAATGGTCTAACAAAAAACATTATTGAAAGATAAAAATGAAAGTCTTTTTAAAACGTTATGCTCAGTCAAGATAATCATTATCATTAGATATTCGCATGTAGCAAAATTAACACATCATTTTAAAACAATAGGTTTCGTCTGAGATTGCCCGAATTTCGAACCTAGTTATGAGATTTTTGTCTGAAAAACTTACTTTCGGGACTGCCCCCTCTGCCACCCTTTGGCTCCGCCACTGATGCCTGACTGAGGAATATATACACTGGTTGACAAAGTTTGAAACTTTAAATTTATGTCCATTCTCAGATTCACATTAATCTTCAGATTGATCACTTAGATATATATAGAAAAATTTGAGAATTCTTTTATCGACTAATTTAATGAAAATTTTAGGAAATATCGCCCCCTTATGACCCGTCATCTTTATGTTTCTGTATATGTTATCCATAAAATCTTAGCGTTAATTTCGAAACAAAATGGTACTTCTATTTGGAGGAAGGAGTCTACTACTATACTAACTTTACTCCCGATTTTGTCTTTCTTGGGTGATATTTTTGATTGAGTGAATTGTTTTGCTTGTACAGATTTTTTATCGTAATTGATTTAAGACGTTTGTTAAAAGCAACTAAATAATTCTAACGCCATTTTTAAATGTATTGACGGCCACAATGAGGTGCTTATACATTGAGATCGTATTGGTATTAAATTTACATCTAATATCGCGAAATCTGTTTTGTTATGCTCCTACCTATGTATAAGTAAGCGATGTGGTGCATTTTCGTTTGCGTCTGCCAGTGACAGATGTAAATTATATAATTTTACGATTTGTAAAACAGAGGAGCTTGTATTTCTTTCAAACAGTAAAATCTATTTTATTGGTAAGTCTTTTCAAAACTACCTCAGGTAAAGTTTTTGATATCATTGGGCAATAATAAACAATTTCGCCAAGTTATGTCCAAATGTAAAGTATTCTACACTTTAACCAGTTGAAAACAAGGTCAATAACTCATTAGGTTTCGTCCTAGGATGATTAACAACACTCACGCCAGGTTTGCCAAGAAAATCAGCCTTCTATCGTGTCCACAACGCATTTCCAAGAACAACTCATTTATCCTCTTTTGATCTGTCTGATTTTAAATAGGGTTCATCCTTGGGTTATAACAAAGTCTCCCACCAAATTTGCCAAAATCCGTCCATAAACTAACTCTTTATCGCAACGATTGTGGACAGATGGACGGACGGACGATACGGGACGGGACAAACAAACATTAATGTGTGGGCGTATAAGTACGATTAATATATGTTACATGTTAATTGTATTCCAAACAGACAGACAGGGGCGACGACTGATCAGTAAATGGTACATCATAATTGTATTCCAAATTTTGCTCTATTTTATTAGCAAATTAAAAAAATAAAAAAAACCCCAAAAATCATGATGCAAAAGCGTGATGATTGAGAGATTTGAACCATTATGAAAATTATATCTGAAATTGAGATTTTTCAGACGATAAAGTTTAATTGTTTTGCTAATCAGTTTACTATCAGTTTATTATGAGGAGTTTCATATCAATAGCTCAAATATATTAGGCCAATTAATACTAAACTATACAGAAAATTGCGGCATATGCATGTTAGCAATATAGGTTAGGTGTCAAATATCCCTACAGTTGTTATAATACAAGTTAATATAATTGCTATTGATGTAATCTGGTACGGCATGCTCCCTGAGGTTGGTTGGATGGTGGATTCAACCAAAATTTCACGAGATCTTCTTTTTTCATCTGCAGATCTGAGAAAAGAAAACGAATATACGACAAAATATAATGTTATTTGAATAAGACCCATTTTCCCGTTTAGCTCAAGTTGGATTTTCTCGGGCTTTTAATATGTTGTCTGTGATAACTATCCTAAACCATTTTGAAAAATTCAGCTTTATATCATTTTTCCCTTTTTTGCTGTTATTTGTTGTAATGCTCCGACTAAACAGTTACAGCTCGATTTCAACTCTTAGTTTCACTATAGAAAAACGGCATTTATTAAAACCAAAAATAGAAGCTTAACTACGCCCCATTCAGCATTAGATCAATATTCTGACATGCAAATACAAACGCAAGAATGTTAACAACGACTGGAAGAGACAAACTTGGTATGGTCTATTTTTATAGAAATAGAGATATTAAAACAGGACCTAAAAAAAAATGTTTTCACTCAATGCGATTTTCAGACAAGTGAAGTAGAAATTCTTCTCATGACTACATTTCGGGACAGGTTCGGAACGTTTGTTACGATATTCATGGAGATCTAGTGTAAATTCTTACAGTTAAGGTATCGCCACTGCCTCATCTAGTGTTCATTTAGGGCTTTCCATGCATAGTAAGAATATAAAAAACGGCACGGAGTGTATGCTTGTACTTACTACCGATGTCACTCTTTATGATCAGTATACACACATTTTTATATGTTTTTATTCAATGTGTCCTGCGAAGTACTTACAATGTAACAAACTTTAAATTTCCTTCTACTCGGATGCCTTCTCTTGATACCGGTTTCCAATCCTTACCGTCTTTCGACATCATAATTTTTAGTCCAGGAATTTCACAGTTGGCATACATAGTCTGGCCATCTTTCCTTTTTTGATGTTTTGAAAAAAAGAGAAATAAATCAGTCGCTGAATGATCACTAGAAAGTACAATGAACAATGTCTGAAGTCAATCCATTAACAAATAATAAAACCCAAGACCCCTATGAATTTTTAATAACAATTAATGCACAAACAATCTACGAATTGACATAACACCAGGATCTGGTCATTTTATATGCCATAAAAACTTACTTGATACCAGGTGGTGGAACTCTGTACGAGATGTTCATTTTATCTAACGATTTTAGTTCAGCATAGCCAAGATTATTTGCAAATCTCTCCCAATCAGCATCTCTTGCCTTGTTTCTTCTTTGCTTATCATCAATGTTTTCCCATTCTGCTTTATGCCATGCTCTCTCTGCTAGTGCTAACAACCTAGGGAATATCATGTAATCTAACTGATCTGGTTGACGCACAGTCTCACTCCAAAGGTTACCTTGGATTCCTAGAAAAAGAGCAATGTTTATAGATATAAAAAAAACAAAATTATGCTTTATTAAGTACTAGAAATATTCACCAGGACCACTCGCATGCAAATGTTGAAAATCATGTTATGATCTGCTGTAAGAACACAAAAAATAAAATATAAAAAAAACTTGATAATGTCTATATAGTGTTGATATATTTGAATTATTAAAGTATTTGACAAGGTTTGCCAATTGATAGAGAACTTGCCTATTAAATTTTCAGGTTTCTCTAAATCGGGACATTTCTTTCCATCGTCACCACAGAATTCGGACTTTGAGATTGGTTCCCCAGACACTTGAAGTTCAGCATTTGCATACAAATTATTCGGCATAAATCCGAAAACCTTCTTGGTGTCTGTATATCTGGCAGCCCAGTAGTGACCCCGTTCTAATGGGTCAGGTTCATATGGATGGTCAAAATAATAATGAGTTGCTGGGGCCATTACCACCTGGAACAAAACATTTGCCGCGCCATTATGTTTTAATATATATTTACATTGCGAAATGGTTCCTCATTTTGGTCTACCACTAACTAACTGATCAAATGAGTTGGTGGTGTTTCAAAAATCAAAAGTCTTTAGATTCAATGTATAGAAAAAAAGAAATTTGGGTGAGCTTTACATGCATACCTTGTATCCTTTATTAGCCAATATATGGGCTCTAGGGGCAGCTCCCCACTCCCAAACATTAGACCAAGCATATCCATAAACTTTTCTATTGACAAGTTTGTTCAAATCAAAAGGAGTATTTCCAGATTTCTTCAAACCATCTTCCCAACCAGCGAGGTCTAACCCTTCAGCATTGGTCAAGTTTGATATTCTCCTTGTAAATAATTCCTTAAGAGCATCTACAGATTTTGATTCTTCGTGTTTCTTACAGGCTGTTGAATTTAACCACGATCCCTCGGCAACTTCGTCCCCCCCAAAATGAAAGGTTTTTAGGGGGTTGATGGCTTTGTGGAGTAATTTTAACTGAAAGGGAAACGGCAACACATTTTAATGTGATCTTAATAACCTTTCTTCCAAAATATATATATTCTACCCCTTGCAATATTCCGTTGGCAACTATTATCAATATTGAAATACAGAATGAAATACAACCAATGTATTGCTTATATGATGTTTTTGATTTCGGTTTCGTTTCGCGTTAGTACTTTTTTTTTTAAATACTCTTTAGGACATAGGACCACCTACCTGCTGGACTACGTGCTGAACGAACGTATAAGTTGACTCAATACACGGGTTAATCGAGTTATCGTTGAAGAGTTGGATAGATGTATAATCAGATGTGTCTTCTGGATCATTCAAAGAGTATTTATTAGAATTGACCATGTCTCCAATATCTTTCAACTTCTTGGATCGAGCAACCATGGATTTGATAGCTGAATGGGCATGCCCTGGCATGTCTACTTCTGGTATGATCTCTATATGGCGATCTGCAGCATACTGCAAAATTTCTTTGTAGTCTTCGACAGTGTAATATCCTGAACCTGAAGTCGATGGATCTGGCCCCGAGCCCAGTTGTGGTATAATGCAGGTTTGCTCAGACAGATCATCACAACGCTTCGAACCTATCTGAAAACATGATAAAATTCAGTAGAACGCGTTTTCAAGATCAAGGGCAAAAACTCATATAGCATATTTTGCGATTTTTTTATTTTCAATAATGTTCTTCCTTATGTGAGTAAATAAGTTTCGTCAAAATCTGTCAAGAGTTGTGCCTTGTAGACTGTTTATGAGCTGAATATTGGCCAAATGTTTCATTAACAACTCCTTTAATAAGTTAATTTAAAATCCTTTCTGTCATTAGTGAGTTTAAGTATAGTCCAGGTAAGCACCTATCATGTTAATCCTTTCAATAGCGGTGATTAGAATTCAACCTAGTTCAATATATCCACTTTGTTAGTTTGAATTATTTGACAGACGAGTATAGTCTTAATTTTGTGAAGACAATTTAAATCCATACTGCACGTGGGCGTATAAAATCAAAGGAATCCATAAAGAATTGTTGCCTGTATAGTCAGCACGAGTTGCACAATATAGCTAATAGAGTGAAAACTCTCAGTGGGACACAATATTTCAGGGAAAAATTATCAGATCATCACGAAAATCGATAGGGATCAATTTCATAATGACATTGACCCACACAAAAAAGCAAAAGAATCTGTAAAGAATTGTTGTCCGTAGAGTGAGCACGAGTTACACTATATAGCTAATAGAGTGAAGTCAAACACGATATTTCGGTGTAAAACTATCAGATCATCACGAAAATCGTTAGGGATCATTCTCATAATGACATTGACCAACATAATATAAATCAAAAGAATCCATAAAGAACTCTTGTCTGTAGAGTAAGCACAAGTTGCACAATATAGTTAATAGAGCGAAAACGCTATGTCGTATTGACCTACAAATAAAAATCAAAAGAATCTGTAAAGAATTGTAGCCCGTAGACTGGGCATGAGCCAAATGTGAACGGACTGACGTACCACCAGAGTTATTACAATGTACACCCAAAATATATTTCTGGGCGTATTAAAAAGGTCAAATAACTCATAAAGAATATAATTCATTTTGTTTTTGGTTTTTAATAGGGTTAATTCTTGGTTGATATTAAACAATTTCAACAACTTTTATCAAAATTCTTCCAGAATTGCGCCATCTAGGGTTTTTGCAAGCTAAATATTGAACATATTTCAAGAGCAAGGGCAATACCTCATATAATATTTTTCTGATTTTCAATAGGGTTCATGATAGGTATTATTATGCTGATAATTAACAATTTCAGCACATTTTGTCAAATCCGTCAAGAATGTTCACGAGTTAAGATTTAAAATTGAACGAGTTTTCTAGAAGAATTTCAATATGGTTCATCCTTAGGTGATAATAAACACTTACACCAAGTTTCGTCAAAAACAAAATTTTGCGAATTGTGGACTAACGACATGGGTGACGCCAATATACGCTCCACATTTTAAGGCAATATTAGTTACTTCGATTATGTAAAATATGCCACATAATTCTAATTCTTATTAGGGTAATTATGAGAATGTTGGAATAGTGAACATGTAATAGATGGTACACCTATTCATCGACATATTATTGTACTCAATATACTAAATGAACATTATTCGCGATATATCTCCACAATAAAACATTACCAATAATACAATATTATCTTAAACAACATTGTAGTGGTAAGTCAAATTAATACACGGAAAGATTGTTATGAGACTCAAAGAGTAGAATTTGTCACCTTCGTAAGTTCTTCTAAACCTGGGATTTCCAAACGCCAGCCTTCGTCGTCGGTTAGATGAAAATGTAATTTATTTAATTTAACCATAGCCATAGCGTCTAAGATCTTCATTATAGACGTATTGCTGTGGAAATTCCTTCCCACATCTATATGCATTCCACGGTACTCGAATCTTGGTGCGTCTTTCACTATGGTTTTATATATAACACCACCTGCAGACCTTTTGATAATTCCTAATAAACTTTGGACTCCATAAAACATACCAGCATTACCCAATGATCTAATTTGTATACTTTGACTTCCTGGTTCTATATTCAGAGAATAGGCTTCTACAGATATGTTGATTGATTCGTCACTTTGTTCAACTTCCGGGTCACCAATTGCAAGACTGATGAATCTTTTTGAAGGCTCGGTCTGCTTTATATCTAACCTGTGCAAACCCAAATCATGCAACTTTTCTGTGAAAAAAAAAGGTTCAATCAGACAATCTGATAATCTAAAAGTGCATTTGCATATCAATTACTTGTAATAACAAGTGGTTGCCTAACAAGATACGCCCACTTTCCTGATACATTTTCAGTATAACAGTGGCAGTCACCTATCTGTGTCAAATCATACCAAAAATCTAATGTGTGCAAGATATTGTTGATTTAAACAAAGACGTATTATTTAATGAGAATCTGGCATTAACTTTCACCTCTAACGCCAACAAATTTGATGAGTTTTTTCTAAGTCATGGGCAATAACTCAAATTCCGTTGATCGAAAAATTGTCAAATTTAATCTTGACTAAGATCTCATCATTATAAATATATATATACCAAATTTTTTTAAAATCGGATGAAAACTGTACTCTCTATTGTGTTCACAAACAAATTTTGACACATTTTTCATAAATCAAGGGCAATAACTCAAAAACCGTCCATCGAAATATAACAAACTTCAGACATGACCAAGATCTCATCATTATAAATATTCACACCAAATTTCATTTAAATTGGATGAAAACTGTAGTCTCTATTGTGTTCACAAACAAATTTTGACGCATTAATCATAAATCAAGGGCAATAACTCAAAAACCATTCATCAAAAAATTGTGAATATCGAACTTGTCCAAGATCTCATCAATATAAATGATCACACCAAATTTCATTCGAATCAGATGAAAATTGTAGTCTCTATTGCGTTCACAAGCCAATTTCGATTCGTTAAGGCTAAGTCAAGGGCAATAACTAGAAAACATTTAATCGAAAAATCGTGAATATCGAACTTGTCCAAGATCTCATCAATATAAATGATCACACCAAATTTCATTCAAATCAGGTGAAAACTGTAGTCTCTATCGCGTTCAAAAGCCAATTTTGACGCGTTTTTGCAAAGTCAACGGCAATAACTCAAAACCCGTTCATCCAAAAATCGTGAATATTGAACTTGTCCAAGATCTCATCAATATAAATAATCACACCAAATTTCATTCGAATCAGATGAAAACTGTGGTCTCTATCGCGTTCACAAGCCAATTGTGGACGGACGGCTTGACATGGGTGACGACAATATACGCACAAAATCATCACCAGAAAGAGAACGTCCACAAAACGAATCTACATAATCGGGAACATCACATGCATAGCTACATAGGACCATGCTTGTTATTTAATAAATAAAGTGGCAAAACAGGTGAGTTCGCAATCGTGCAGTGACCAGTTTAGAAGGTATCTTAATTGGAATTTCTATTTGTTTATTTATGGGTCATTCATAGTGTAAGGAATGTGATTCCTTCAGTCTTTTTTTCAAATTTGACTTTAATAACAACTTGTATGTCGTGTTGATTTTCACTGATTTGACAAAGTAACCTCATTGTGAGTTGTGGTGTAGCCTACATTACACAATGGGCTAGATTTTGTCGTCTTTGTGTAAGAGATTATAAGCCTATTGATGGTTGCCATTGATAATTACTGCTGGTATTATGTTTAACAATTAGAAGCTAGCTTTGTCTTCGGTGAATTTCGTAACGTCCTTTACAGTTAAATGTTTCATAGCCCAATGTGACAACAATTGGTAATATGATTGCAAACAATTGTCCTAAAATCTAACGTAAAAGTAGTTATTCTCTGAAGATTAGCTTACAATGCAAGGTAATATACGTACACTCGCAGCTTTAATTTTGATTAAGAACATTTGGCATGCACAGTAACAATCACCAGGATGAAATATTCAACCTTCTGTCATACACTGCTTTTGAACTGTTTGGGGCGATACTAAATAATATAACGAAGTTTTGTCAAAATCCGACAAGAATCGTGCCTTTGAGTGTTTACAGGCTAAAATTTGAAAGAGTTTTCAAGGACAGAGTCCATAACTCCTGTAAAACGGTTTTGGTTTTTCAATAGGGTTCATCCATTGGTGATAATAAACAATTTCACCAATCTTCGTCAAAATCTGTCTAAATTGTTTACGAGCTAAAAGCCTTCAAGAAAAAAGGCAAATAACTCATACCAAATATTTTTGCTTTTCATTCGGATTCATCAATGGTTGATAACAAACACTTACGCCATGTGTCGTCAAAATCTGTCAGGAATTGTGCCTTCTTCATTGTTTCAGAGCTAAAAATTGACGCGTTGAACAAGGGCAATAAAACATACTAATTATTAGATTTTTCTGATTTTCAATAGGCTTCTTCCATAGGTGATTACAAACAATCACACAAAGTTTCGTCAAGAATTGTGCCTTCTAGAGTGTTTATTAGCAATTGTGGACGGATGGAGAGATGGACATGGGTGACGACAATATACCCCCTCCCCAATTTCCAATATGGACAGAATAACATTTAAATCAAAATTATAGGAAGCACTTGATGACCCCAAATTTTCTCAGTCAAAATATAACAAAATTTCAAACTAATAACTCCCATAGATAACGATAAAGACATAACTGACAACTTTCAAACTTACTTCCACATAATCTCACATAATCCCACAGCAATAGTCGAGTCTTATTTTATCAAAATACATTAAGATAGAGTCACAATTCAACATGTTTATCATCCATGCATAACGCTGTAAACAAAATGACGGATTCTAAAACTAAACAAACATACTTCGAAATGCAGATATAACACAAACGCAAGCTTGTAAATCAACCAATTGACCTGAAAATGTGTGTTATTGTTCATTCGATGTCAGTAGATTCCGATAATATTACTTGTTGATTTTGTAAATCGAAGATAAACATTACAAAACAATGTTATTTAGTGCACACTCGGTTCAACCTCCATCACCCTTCATGTCTGTTTCACATGTAAAAATACGCAATTCTCAGAAAATACAATTTCTATAATTCTTTTTATATAATATGATGTATGAAACCAAAGCATAAGAATCTGTCGATACAAATAAATAAACGACGAACTATATTCCCGGCGTATGCGTATCTTTAAAGTGATAGGTCTATTCCTGCGCTAAAAGTTATGAAATTTTAAAATATACACGTAATCTAGAAGTTGCCTACGTGTACGTTAAAGTTAGGTGCACAATTTGGTACATTTGCCTTCCGAAAAAATATTTGTCAATTTGATTATCAATATATACAAATAAAGGTTGATTTCCGAAAATAGCACACTATTATCCGTAAAAAACATCACGTGACCATTATATCATGGTTGCTATCCAAAAACATAAGTGTCAAAGTAGTACAAATGTAATTTTTTTTATGCCATCTACTTGGATGCTTTGTTGAAACGATTTAGGAAGGATATCTATAACTTTGTTAAAGTTTTTAAATGCTATATAAAAATTCTATTAATGTATGGATAGACATTTGTGTATTGGTTTTAGTCCGATGATTCTTGCCAAATAAGTTGAATAAAATACAGATCTAGGCTACAATCACTGTCCATACACGGGGTTAGTTTAGAAAATAAATTTAGTCTCCCGCGACTGAATAACAAACCATTTGCATCTTCTTTGATAAAACTCACAGATTCCGTGTTAATCTAGTAGTAAAACAGAGCCCCAAAATAGAGTCTGTTGAGTCTGGGTGGGCCTAGAATGGCTAGATCCAAAATCCAGTTCACGTAGGCCTACAAATCATAACTCAACATGTAACATGATTTTGATATCAAACAGGCTATACAGGTAGAGTGTAACGTTTTCGTCACCCCTTGTAGTAATGTTAGATAGTACGGGTATACATGTAGCCTAGGTTATGAAGAGGCAATGACCCAATGCAGGTATAGGCCACCATACAATTTGAGTCTATTTTCTGTAAGGTATTGTGTTAAATTGGATTTTTTTTGCAGATTCCAAGTCTGGGCTATTGTCCCTTACTTATATAAGGTTTGATTCTTGGATAATCAAGGTTTTCTTGTTTTATTGGAGTTAGTAAAATACCCAAATTTTGACACATAATTGATAAGTACATTTTTCTAAACTTTTTTTAAACTTTTTTTTATCTTTTTCAGTGATTATTGAGCTTGTGACACGTCCTTATACCTCTTGTATCTTGTTTGCATGTCTAGGGAACTTTTTAGAATGTGTCTTGGGTTTGCCAAACAAGGTTTACCTTACCCTTAAACATTTTGTGCTATAGAAATATATTAAAGAAGCACATACCTGCTAAAAATTCAGCCTCTTTGGTATATTTGTAATCAGGTACAATAACCCAGTCTGCATCAGGTAATGGAATACTTTTGTCTTTTGAAGCTGTATACTTAAGCGGTGATGGAATAATTGTTTCTGGTACTTTACCAAAATCTTTCACATAAGCATTGATTGAAAAACGGTTATTTGGCGTGAATGGGTCGAATCTGTCAGTTAAATCATCTGTTTTATATCTAGAAAAGACAGTAATAACCCATCGAGACATTTTGTGATAAACTTATCGATTTCTGGCGACTGGTTTTCGAAAGTATCTTACGAGTAAGACACGTCTTACGATGGTCTTACGACATATCATAGTCGTAAGATAGGTTTTCGAAAGTGTCCTAAGTTACGATAAATCATAAATTTCATCGTAATCTTAAGATACCTCTCGACCTGTCTTAAGATGGTCTTATGATTATCATACGAGCTTCGATATCACGCGAATAAAAGAATATGGCTGCTGTTTACATGCACATTCGACAGCAAGCTGAAAACGTACGCCGAATAACCCACTAGACTACATGGATGATGAACAAATAGTATGTAGATATAGACTTTCACGCCCAATGATACTAGATTTATGTAGAATGTTCCAAACAGCCCTAGCAAGGCCAACAGCAAGATCTCGTGCCATTCCAGTTTCGTTCCAGATCATGGTTGCACTCAGATTTTATGCCACTGGAAGCTTTCAGATGGTCAATGCTGATGTCAATAACAAGATCTAGACCAAGTGTATCAAAAATAACACGTGATGTAACTGCATGTTTAAAGAGGGTTTGTAATGACTATATAAAGATGCCAACTGGCCAGGCTGGACTTCGCAACATCATGAGAGGTTTTCATGAAAAACATACTACACATAGTATACATACGCATAAAAGCTCCAACAGAGGATGAACATCTTTATGTAAATAGAAAAAGCTGCCATTCTATTAATGTTCAAGCAGTTTGCGATTCAAATATGAAGTTTTCTTTTTAGCACTGTTTGTTACTACATTGCTGTGTCGGCTGAAAAGTAAGGACTAATTTTTCTCCACTTCGTCTATCAAAATTTGAATATCTTTTTTAAGTAATAACTATAAATTTTATTTCCTATAATTTTTTTAATAGTAAATGTTATCACTTATGACAGTTATAAGAGCATCTGAGGTATGACTATCGTAAGACAGCTTTGATTTACATTCTATGACATGTCGTATGATAGTCATAAGATAGTCTTAAATTTGTCTGAAGATATATCTTATGACGTTTCTTACGATACTTTCGAAAACCAGGCCCCTGATTTTCATTTCCCGTTAAAAGGCAACTTTCCAGTATTATGGTGAAAGTTTAGTGCAACTTGAAAAAGTTTCATCATGAAAAATAATCTATCAAGTCCATTACAAAAATGTTTTACAGCAATGAAATCCTCAGATTAGCAATCCATCAACTTTTTGAGTAGTTTTCATTCCGATTAAGCTACAGGTCAAAGGGTGCGAATACAACAGACTCGTTATAAAGTGTCAGGCGCGGTGTACCGATCCTATCCGGACGCAGCTATTTGATCAGGATCGTGCAAAAAGGCGGTGCGGTTTATGAAATACTCCCGAACACGAATTGCTGTCGGGACCTTGGTAGGGGCTTCAAACCTCGTCTATTTCCACCTTAAAGGGGTAGTATTTTCATTATCAACGTCCTAAATTATACCTGAAAATATTTGTTAAATATGCTATTATACCTATGTACATGTATCTACCTGATCAAACTGAATTAGTTTTAAAAAGGTTAATTGAAAACGGAGAGTACCAAACGTTAAATAAGCAGTTTGACCTGTTTTGTTGTTTGGCTTTATAATAGCTAATTGTTTTAGTTGAAACCTTTAGAATACAATAAGACGTTTTTCTTTAACTTAAATCCGTACAGTAGTTTTTACATTCGTCGGTCGCTATTTTCTTTTGTTCTTTTTGCGTTCCTATTTGTAGTGTTGTTGTGTATGTTGAGCAACTATGACGGGCAGGGTATTCTTACTCTTCTAGACACCTGATACATTTCATAATGAAATACTCACTTTTGATTCCTCATGTGAAATTTTCAGTTACTACTACCAATGCTTAGTTATTTTTTAAAATATTTTTGGCGTTAAAAATTTACGGCTAGAGTTTTTTAAATTAAAACTTCCGGATACGTTTAGGGACTCATTACTCTAATTTTTGGTGTACAATTTTCACAAGTTTGAGCACAAAAATCTACAAAAAGGCGAATGTGCCTATATGCATAAACGGCTGCTTTGTATTCAGGGAACTTTCAGTCGGCTTTCAGCTTTCTGGAACTAACAAAAAAATAATGCCAAAAACCGAGAGTTTTATAACATGGTAATTAAAGATTGGCATTATAAACAGAGAATGCTATATGATAGATACACAATAGTGAAGAAGTACAATCACTTAAAATCTTATAGTTAAGAACTTTCATGTAATATTAAAAGATCAAACAAAATAGATACAGACCGTTTCCATTGTTCAACTCTTTTAAAATCTTTAACCCAGTCCAATTTTTCCCCGGCAGTACTCTGAAGAACCTTACTGACCATACCATCTGCAGTTACATAAATGTTAGGCATGGCATCAGTCTTTGCCACTGACCAATGACCAATTTTGCATTGAAATCCTCTTACTTCTCCATGTTTTAATTCACCAAACTTTCGTGTCGGCGTCAGTTTAAACAAACCACCATTTACGTGTTGAATGATGACGTCATATCCTGGTAATTCATAAGGAACATGTCCTCTTAGATGCTGGGGTTCAACCATTTCCATACTGTAGAAATATATTTCCCAATTACCAAGCGGGATGGGTTTATACCCAACATTTTTCAATGTGTATTCAGCTAGGAAAGTATCGGCATTATTATCAAAGTTACTAATAACTTCATATTCAATGGACAAATTTTCTGCTATCTGATCAATCACTGATTGGTCAACTACAGGAAGTGGTTCCACTTAAAAAGAAAATATATATATCGTAGATGAGGGTACAAGCGTAAACGTTAAACATCAACGCTTTGCTTAATTCAAAATAGCGTTTTCTTCACATAACGTGCACGTTTAGTCGTACGAATTTCTGACAAACGGGATACAGATATTTTAGCTGGTTTTTTGATATTTGATTTAACGAGTCAAATCTTGCAAAGTTTTGGAAAAGTAAACGGTAATTTGTCGAAAATTGTGAGGCTGTAGCCAACTTAATACACGTATCTAAACAATACACATACACTTGGCTTTCCTATGGTCTGATTGAAATTGTTCCTATACATACAAAACAATTTTGAACTTTTGTCTGATTTAGAATAAAAAGTTATAGAGATGCAAACCTGGATGTAGGTTGATTATTCGACTTTCTCGTTTTCCATCTTGGTTACTGAAAAATATACAGTAAGTTAATATTAGCAATTTTTAACACTTCACATGACGATTTCCGTTATTATTCGTTTAAAAATTAAAATGCAGAATAGAAACAGTAAGCACAGTCCTATATTGCCACACATCTTCATTAAGTGCGAAAGTAACATAATAATGTTTTAAAATATTTCAAGGGATTACAAAGAGGTTCCGATAACAATGTCCTATTTCATTATGTGGTTTCTATTTACACAAAACTATTTTCAAATACTGTAAAATAAGATTAAACACCTTAAAATATCTGTAAAATTATGTAGTTGATATTCGTTTTCTGTATTCGTGATGATACCTTTCAAAGCTATAGCGTTTAAAAGTAATACAAGTTGATTCATTTTAATTCTTATACTCGAAAAATAATATGTATGTCATAGCATACTGTGTTTAAACTGATAAGGTCACTCTTTGAAACAATGTAGATACGGTTTCTTGAGAACTTAGCCATAATTTCAATTACACTTTATTTATTGTAAATGTCAAAAATACGCTATTAAGTCACACTAAGTCACTTAAAGTACATTCCAATCTAACATAACGTAAGCCACACATAACTTCCAATGCACTACATTTTAAACACATTTGATAATCATCATGTTAATATATCTTCAAGCGTAACGGAAATTGTTGTGGTGTAATATTAATTAAAAAAATCCGTACAAGCAAGATATCTTCCAAAGTATGGCAAAACCGATAGTAAAGATAGCTTGCGATGCAAGTTAACATACGCCCACTGGCAGCTGTCAGAAAACAGCCTTTAGTGACTAAAGTACGAATTTTCTCATATTGAAGAAATTATTTATGCTGAATAATTCCACAAAATTTTTTAAAATCAATATCAATAACCCAAATACAACAAACAATTAAATCACACAGCTCTAATCAAGGGCAAAAAACAACTTTTGACGCGTGTTTACAAAGTCAAGGGCATTAACTCAAAAAATGTTCATCAAAAATATATCTTATTAGAACTTGTCCGAGATCTTATCAATTCCAATGATCACACCAAGTTTCATCAGAATCGGTTGAAAACTGTAGCGTCAATCCTGCTCACAAACTATTTTTAACAAATTTCAACACGTTTTAACAAAGTCAAGGGCAATAACTCAAAAACCGTTCATCAAAAATGCGTCAAGTTAGAACTTGTCCGAGATCTTATCAATTCCAATGATCACACCAAGTTTCATCAGAATCGGATGAAAACTGTAGCTTCAATCCTGCTCACGAACAATTTTTAACATATTTCAAGGCGTTCTAAGTCAAGGGCAATATCTCAAAAACCGTTCATCGAACTTGACCGAGATCTTATCATTCTAAAGCATCACACCAAGTTTGATCAAAATCAGATGAAAACTGTAGTCTCTATAGTGCCCACAAGAAATGTTGACGGACGGACGGACGGACAGGGGCGACGACAATATACGACCACATATTCACGTGGGCGTATAAAAACTGAATAGTAGTGACATCCTCCAAAGAGAAGTACCAATAATTTTCTTTCATGAAAATCACACATTCACAAATAAGGATTCATTCACTCATTGTTGTCGAAACCTTTCTTCAAAGCATCCATTTTATGCAAACTAAAACACATTAATTAATTTTCACGGATGAGATCTCTTACATCTTCATTTCTTGTCAACCAAATACAGAAAAAATTGATAATTAACCATTATGAGGCCAGTGTCGAGGGCCTTGTCTAGCATTAACTCACTACGAATCGTGTTGACTTGAATATTTTACTTCAGTCAACTCTAATCCAAGGTGTCCTCTCATTATTTGAACATCAGTCAAACACTGATCCTTAAGCTAACTTTGACAATAAATTACGTCAAGCAACCTATTTAAAACCTGAATATGAAATATTTTATAATTTTATTACGACCTACATAAATGCTACTTCATTTAGTATGTCCTTTAAGCAAAAACGTTTTATTAAACATATAAGTTGTGTTGGTAGCAAAAGTTCTAACCTTGTTTTAAGTAAAACTGAATTGTTACTTTTCAAGACCGTATTCTCGTCGGCTACCGACCATGTTACACCATTATCTACACTATATTGTACCATTTGACCATTGTATTCTGTATTGGTGATTAATTTCATATTTTTGACCCTAAAATATTTGTTTCGCATATAACTTATTCAAATTCAAGATTGGACTTCGTCATATTAAAACACGCATGGACAATATGCATGGAGGTACTCAATACACAGACGTATTTCACAAGAGCAATTCTTATAAAGTGTTTGTATAGTGTCGAATATCAGGCTAACAATTTGATAGTATAGCGAAGTTTACGTACGTTCCACCTGGAGGTGAAATCCTATATTTAATTCCAAGTCTTTCTAATCGAAACAAATATCTCAATCCTACAGACTTTGAAAATCTTGCCCAATCCATATCAATCTGTACATCTCTCTCAGTTTTGTCCATAATTGTCTCCCAGTCAGCCTTATGCCATGCCCTCTCTCCAATAGCAAGAATTCGTGGAAATATCATATACTGCAATTCCTCTGGTGTCCTTACAGTCTCACTCCATAAATGACCTTGCATACCTAAAATAAAGTTCTGTTAAACATAAATTGTATATCTACATGTCAATAACAGAAAATTGACTGAACATTAATGATTTTATCATTTTGACAAAATATTTTTCTCGTACGAATCTACGTAGAGACTTAAAATTTCATTAAAAAATCAAACTTAAAGTCACATATTTGACTTACAGTTTGCGCAAAAAATGAAGATGTCTTTCAATGACACATTACATGTTATAAAAATAGTTCGAAAATCATCGGTAATCAGAAACACTCGCTTAAAACAATTTAATGAAAATAAACATAACTAGATTTTTTCTGTGATTGTTCTGCGGATTACACAAGTCCATGATCCATTAAAGGCGTCAAACGTTGTCAAAAGTAATTGTAACCAATCGAATACATTATACAAGTCGCTGTTCAACAATGAGAATACAAGACCTCATCACGTGTAGTCAGAAAAAGGACTATGATTTACAGAATCTTTTAGTAAATATTAATTTCGTCCTTACGTGCATTGTTATCAAACTGCATGTGAAACGATCAATTTCGTTTCTTTTTTGTTTTCTGAAAGTTTTCTACCACAGCACCGTTCTAATGACGTTGTCTTTCTTGAAAACCGAGGGGCTCTTTTCTAGTTCGGTTCGCTTTCAAACAATTCATTGTGTGATCAGGAAACGGGTTCTTACATGGTACGCTTTGATTATTTGAAATAAAATTACTTAAATGTGAATGTGTTAAAAGAAAAACTTGTCAGGTTACAATTGAATGGAAAAATATCGGAAAATAATAAAGAGACGAAATTGAATATGTGAAATGTCTGAATTTATAATAAAATACAATGCAAATGAGATGAGTAATAAGAATGTTTATGAACAGAACCTTTCCCCTTACCAATAATATTTTCAGGCTTCGTTAAAGTTGGACATGTCTCTTCATCTTTACAGAATGTCTTTTGATCAAGAGGGTCACCGAATCTTGTAAAATCAATATTCTGGTACACATCGTCAGGCATAAAACTAAACGTTTTCTTTGTGTCTGTGAATCTAGGAGCCCAGTAATATCCTCTTTCCTCAGGGTCGGGCTCATATGGGTGGTCAAAATAAAGATGAGTTGCTTGACACATTATGACCTGCATAATGAAAAATAAATAAATGTGTAACATATAAAGATAAGAAGAGGTATATTGGATATTGTTTGCACTTCCGGCTACAGGGTTTTTAATACCAGCCCTATTTTTTCTAGAAAAAAACTACCACAACTAGCTAGTCTAATTCATATCATTAGTTTTGTACATTACAACATTTATATGGATGTATAGGTATATCTGTGATATGAACATTAATATAATTCAATTTACTTTGTATCCAGCATTAGCTAAGTTGTAGGCATGTGCAGCACCTCCCCATTCCCAAATATTATTCCAAATATAGGCATACGAATCCTTCGATGTTGGATCACTTATATTAAATGGTTTACCAGCTTTCATCATACCGTCTTCCCATGCCGCCATATTTAATCCTCGTTTACCTTAAAAATAATCTAATGATTGTTACATTATTCCTCAGTTTTCGAGGATTTGAACAATATGGGGCCTCGTAAAGGCTACATGTAATAATTCATATAATAACACGGACAAATCCTTTCTTGTTATTTTTATAGACATGATATCTTGCCTTAAACTTTTTGTGGGCGTATTTAATAATTATTCCAACTTTGGATTGTACAAAATGTAAGTTCACATAATATATAAATGTAAGTAGTTAAAACCTTCATGCATAATAAAAACTTCTATTTCCATGTTTAATCTTCTCTGTCAACTTGAAACTTTAACGATTTTGTTACAAATGAATAATATAATAACATACAAACAAAATCATGACAAGATCTGTGATAAAAGATCCTTTTTTACTCTATATGCACTTCTAGAAATATGTACTATAATATATATTCAAATAGTTTGTAAGCTATTAAAGTATAATACCTGTTAAATCTGCAACTTGCTTGAAGAATATTTCCTTGATGTCGTCGGAGACAACAGGTTTACCTGTGCTCAGTTCTTGACATTTTGAGGAATTTACCCAGGCACCCTTTCCAACTTCATCACCCCCAAAATGATACATTTTCAATGGTTGAATATCTTTGTGCAACTTTATAAGTTCATCTATCACGTGACCTAAAAACTTGTAGGTAGAGTTTATACAAGGGCTAACTGCATTATCATCAAAGAATTGGACAGACCAGTATTTTGATTTATCAGTTGGGTCATGAAGAAGATATTCCTCTGCATCTGCATTTCGGTCTGATTTAACTAAATTGTTATATCTTTTTTCCATGGCCTTAATCGCTGCACGAGCATGTCCTGGCATATCGAATTCTGGAATAACTTGTATGTGTCTTGTAGATGCGTAGCGAAGGATTTCTTGATAATCAGCTACAGAGTAGTATCCTGAACCGGAATTGGGAGTGTAAGGACCGGACCCCAGCTGTGGTAAAAGACATTCGTTCGTATCATAGCATCTTTTTGCTCCAATCTTACAAAAACAAAAAAATGAAAATTTAACAGGAAATAATTGCCAACTGTTATGTATGTTAATAAAAGCATCTCAAAAATGTATACAGATTTACTTTAGGTCGATGAATATTTTAATATATGCCGAATCGCTTATGTTTTGTCCAGAGATTTATCAGACACACACATAATTGCATGTTCTGTTGAACTACACATGAGCTACAACTGCTTTAAACCTGATTGATTCGCAAGACCTAGAGCTTTTTCCTTGGAAGGAAACCTTCGTTCAAACAGAGACTTTATATACCTTTCTGAGCCACTAATCGACATTCCTCAAAACCATGATTCAATTATGCTGCTTAAGTGCAAAGAGATTCCAATAAAAACTAATTTACCTCTGTTAGTTCCGGTAAACCTGGAATTTCAAGTCGCCAACCCTCATCATCAGACAGATGAAAGTGGAGTTTGTTCAGTTTCACCATCGCCATAGCATCCAGTAATTTTAATATAGAAGATTTGGAGTGAAAATTACGTCCGACATCAATATGCATGCCTCGATATTGAAATCTTGGTTGGTCAACTATTGTAAGGGTTGATATTACACCTCCCATAGAGTACAATGAAAGAAAAGACTGAATACCATTAAAAACCCCAGTTTTTGTTTTTCCAGTGATTTCAATTTCTTTTGTTGCTGCATTCACTTCCAATTTATATGCTTCCCCATTCTCAAGATTTTCATTCGTGTTGGGATGTACAACGCCTCCGACTATGAGCCTTATCACCTTTTCCGTCGGCTGTGCATTAGTTAAGTTTATGCCAGCCTCATCTGAAACAACAATGAAATTAAAGAGAATAAAAGTTAAAAATTGTCGCATATATACATGTGTAAGTTATATTATTCATACAGAAAACGAAATATTGCATTTACAAATACAATATTCTTTTCACAGGGCTCTCATAATCATGAACTGCATATGAAGATCTTGTAGTAGACATTGAGAAATGTACGGCAATAAAATTTTTTGAAATAAAAATTCGTAACATCTCAATTCAACCATCAAGTCTCCGACCATTGTATCACGAATATGGCTTTTGACATGGTGTATGATGAATGGGGCTTGGTTAGGACACCATGGTCTCCGATGATCTTAAGAACCTAGGTCACATATTACCGTACTATACTGCATTAGGAGAAACAAACGTCCACAAACGTGATTGTTCTCTTTTCTCCTTCTGTACCTTTTAGATAGGTAGCTTCAGATAACAGGTTTGGTGTGTATTCTATCAACCAAGCACTATCTACAGTTACATCACCACCACCAAGTATTACTCTGATAAAGACTGGTTTGGGAATGATCGATATTTTTGTATCCTTATTGTTGGTTCTATATTCATTAAAGTACCTGCAAGAATACGTTTCTATAAAAGTGACTTTGTATTAATTCTGTCAAAAGCAAACTATGAAACACGAACTAGCCGATAAAATTAATAACTATTATAGCGAGGAATATATGTTAGATACACTTTTCTCAAGTTTAGTTTTGATCAAAGTTGAAATCTTTTGTAGGATTATATTCAATTTTTCTGTATTATGTATTCTAAGGGTCATCCTATATTTATGTAAACATGCCATGTAAACAAGTTTTAAATACATATACCTTCGATATCTTTCTTGGGCTGTAAAGGGGTTTAATTTGTCGGTTGTTGCTCGCTTCCATTGCTTCGGTGTATGCAATTGAGACACGTAATCTAAGCTTTCCACAGCGGTATTATTGATAACTCGAGGATCAAATCCGTAGAATTTTAAATACCAATTAGGGAACGAGTCTGTTCGAGAAATTGTCCAAAATGATAGATGTAACTGTATTTTCCTCTCTGTCCCGGGCATCAAGTCGATGAACTTATCTGTGGGTGAAATTATGTAGTGGGTGCCTTTCGAATGTCGTATTTTTACACCTTGATCTCCCAAATTTGCTTGAGTATCGGGCAAAAAGTCTGGCTCTACCATCATCGGAGTATCGAAGTATAATTCCCAGTTTTTGCCTTCTAATATCTGAAGGCCTGTATTTTTCAAAGTTAGTTGAACTTTATTTTTATCAAAGTATTCCGTGTTAGATTCCACTTTCCAAAGGATTTGAAGATCATCTGATATTTTATCGACATATTGCTGATCAACTGTTACTGAAATACTGACAGGAGCTGAAATTGAAAGTCAAATTATTACATGTTGTACAATTAGTTCAATTGCCAAGTCAATGCTCTACACGATGGGATTGTTATGAGTTAATATGTATGATCTGAACAGCTTTTTGCTTTTATAATTGTGTATGGACCTGCCAAATTATTAAATCAAAGTAACCAAACTGGTCTTTAGACATAAACTAAATATAAACGCCGTAATATTACATTAACAAGAGTAGCGTTAAACCCCTATTGATCTTGAATGGAGAAGATGCGCTTTTAACCGATGATGCCAGCGTATGTGGGCGTGTATTGTTAAATTTTTAAACATTTAGTTATTTAAGATTAATTGGCATATCACTTCAGTCAAAAATGCAAGATGGTAACTTTTACATATAATAAACTAATATAATACATTTCTGCTACATCTATGCGAAGGTAAAGTTTTATTTGTGCTATGGTTAGGTTTTACTATAATTTTATGTTTATTGAAAAGAGTAACGGGCGTTCACCACATCTGAGACAAATTCAATACAGGAAGATGTCATTTTAACGAAAAGGATAAATAATCAAGATAATACACTATTCGGTGAATTGAGGTCAGTATTTGTTCAGTAAAAATTTATACGAGCACTTGTGTTATATATTGGTCACGAGATATAAAGTCATATGAGATCTTAAACTGAGCGTCACTTCTATCTATGTAGTCAATGAATAATCTTGTAAAGCATATGCTAAGCAGTTTATTCAACAGTATATCTGATGTCACAATAACCTGAATGGTTATATAATCAACAAACGTGACAACCTATTTCAAAATTCACCCTTCTATGTATTATTATAGATTTATCCTTATCTAATGAACAAATTACATAACATTTATTTGAAAATGATAGACAACAAATAATTACGGTCTTAAGAAACGAGAGATGACACTCGCAATCCGAAACTTTGAGTACTTCTGTTTGAAGTATCATGGAAGTTTATGGCATTTGAATTTTTTTTTAATAAGCTGACGAAATTTCCTGAGCCTTGACGAGGAAAATATTTAAAGCATTTCTAAATTTGTTATGTGTATCGGTAGCATACACTGATAGCATTTATTTGCATGGTGGTTCAAAGTTTGTCATGACGTCACTAATCGCGAAATAAAGCTTATTTTGTGACGTCATCAAACACTTAGTTTTAGTGAAGCTGCTGCAGGAACCAGGGAACGGTGCAAATTAATGCTACCAGTGTCCCCGATACACATATAATATTTATATATCGCAACAAATTTAGTATATTTTATACGACAAAAACACGAGTGAAAGATTTTTTTTTATTACACAACTATCATATTACGCATATTTACTTTCCTTGAAGGGCCACTATGCAAAATTTTCACTATCAAAAATGTTGTAAATTATACCTGAAATACTTCTAAAGTATGCTATTCATATCTATGTATCAACTTGATCAAACTAAATTTGTTTTAAAAGGGTTAACTAAAAAAGGGAGAGTACTTATTGTTAATTAAGCAGATTGACCAATTTTTATTGTTTAGCTTTACAATGGCTCTATATTATTAGTTGAAATTTTAAGACATATTTCTCTACAATAAGGCGTTTATTAAACTTTAATCCGTACAGTAGTTTTCCAATAGCTCCCGAAACGCAAAACGAACTTAAAACGTTTACAAAAAACTTTCGTAAACTTTTTAAAATAGTTTTGGCGTTAGATGTTTTAAGTTTAAACTTTCAGATACGATAAAAGACACGTATCTAAAGTTTTTGATGTACATAGTTTTGCACATATTGGAGCAAAAAAATTCGACCTACAAAAGACGCAGAATGCCCCTTTAATTGGCCTGTTAATACCAAGGAAGTGATTGTTTCATATTGAGGTCAGCTTGACAGAAGAATCTATACAACGAGTCAAGCAAGCTAGATATCAGACCTTGAAACTTTCATCTTATCATCGAATGTTAAAGAGAATAAAATAAATAAATACACCGGCATAATATGTAAGTTGGATATGATTTCTAAAGAATTTGTCGAAAATAACACTTGCGTACCGATTCAAGTATGTAGAAACAAACCACAAATGTAAAAATGCAACATATGTTATAAAATTGTCCCACTACTACAAGTGTCAACGAGGCTACATAAGTGCCAGGGCCTGTCTTAAAATCATTCATACACCCTCTGTAAATATATATTTAAAAGGTTTCTATGTTTATTAAAATGTTAAGTATAAATTTTAACTTATTTTAAATTATTTCATTTAATACACATTTTATTGTTTTAACAGAATTATGTTTTGAATGTTATTAACGCGAAGTCGTGTCACTTAAGCCAACTTGGCTGGGCAGCAATATGTTTATTTTCATTTAGCATAATATTTAACTGTATCTTGCTGTGTGACAGTAAGGGGTGTAACCTATTTTCGTGGATATAAGGATTCAACACCGAATTTCGTCAAAGTTAAAAAAACGAAATTTTTTTTTATGTCTTAGATGTTTCCTCAGATATTCTACAAAATAATTAAAATTGGTTTATTTCGATTTTCTTTATGAATCCTTCACTTTGACCCATATTTCATGAGTAACCAACTCGGCAACGGCGGCAGAATGCGTCACCTATTTTCGTGTACATTGTTTGATCTATAAATAAGTCTAGAAAAACACGTTGTATGGATACCGGGTGGTATAATTAACTTCTCTTAGTATTTATATTTAATATCAATTCATTATAACTAGTGACAATTCCTTCAAAGAACCACGATTTTAAAAAAAAATAGTGACTGACAAAATAAGATACGTAGCGTGATTTATTGCTAAAAGTCACTGAAACAACATAAGAATATAGTCCACTTCGTGTTCCATAGAAATTTTCTGCTGACACGGAATCCGCTAGTTGATTACGTGACTTCATCCGTTGGACTACATTCTAGCAGACGACACTTGGAATTCCGATTACCGCTTGGGATTATAGGGAAATTCGGCCGATAAAAAATGGTGACGTTTGGTAATAAGTGAAATCCGCCATTTTGTATTTGTCAAAGTATACATTAATACATTTTACCTTGCTTGAAACTACCGAATTCATTCTACTGGCTGATACTGTAGAGAAAACCCATGTTTATCAAAACAAACTAATGCGGAGGTCGAGCAAGGTCGCTCATGTAAATTATTAATCCTTTCCGGAAATCCACGAATAATAGGTTTCCACGAAATTAGGTTACTCGATTGTACTAATATTACTACTACTATGTAAAATGTAATATTAAAAGAGATTCACAAACATTTGTGATATAAACATCCGTCGACAAAGGTTAAAGATATTTTATGGAACACCCTCGGATGAAAGAGCAACCACTTAATGTGATAAACATCCAAATCCTCCAGCTATTATAAGTTGTGTAAAGATTTGGCCGAATTCGTCCAATTTTGAAACAAATTTCAAAACAAACACATACTCGGTCAAGAGAAACAACCCAATGAGTAAGTAGTTTCGTATCGGTTCGTCAGTTTCTTTAATCCAAGAGATAATGTATTTATATTGAGAATATAAAAAAATACAATATTATGAAAAGAACGCCATCCGGCTTCGGCTTATGAGACACCTTAAAATATATATCGTAAAGCCACAATCAATAAGACAAAAAACATAAATATAAAGTTACAGATCACAGATACGTTTCTCTTCTCAACATATGCACCTTAAAAATCGTTGAAGCTAAAAAGGGTAAATTTTTAGCACAATTCATTGAAAACTCTAACTTTTCATCATCCTTTCAAACAAAAAAATTATCACAGATTTCAGAGTTCTAAAAGAAACGAATTGAATTTAACAATGGGATAAAAAATGTTTCTCGTCTTCGACTAACCCGGAGTTGCAATGCATTCTTTTATTTCCTCTGGAGGCGGAATTCTAAGTGAGAGTGGTCCCGCTCTTAGTCGTGATAATATCCACCTCTGTAACAAATCATAAACATTTTTAAAATAAGGGACCGTGTCAATTCCATGTTTAAAAATCCTATAGAACCTAAGCTTGTTGCCATTGGGCCCGTTGCAGAGACAGATTGCCTGTCAATAAGGTGAAGTACTATCCCTTCAACTTTCTAATACGACTGCCGATAAGTCACTATTTTGTATACACAAATTATTTAGAGTGCCATACTGTCGGTCGTTTTGGATGCATCCTTTCGGCACATCACACAAACCATAATTTTGAAATATTTTTCAAGATGATGTCTTTTAACGCTCATGTATTCTTACGGTAGAAAAATTTGCCGACTAAATTGAATATTCTTTATTATGCATTCAAACAGGATTGTGTTAAGAATGGCAATATAATTAAAGCCATTATTTTCAAAAGATAGGACGACAAAATTACACATTCTTGCTTATCTTTAATTAAATTCCTAAACTGAACAATATACCACTATAATGTTTCACTTCATAAAATGAGTATATAAACCAATGACTGTATCTATTTCCCTGATTCCAATGTCAGTAGGTTCTCAGTATGCCCTCCCTTTCAAAGACTCCTTTACAGATGTTAATACAGAATAATATTTGGTATATTTATCAGTTATATGGATAAACGAATTCCAGTTACTACGTCAGTTCATCTAAATGTACTTTAGTGAATTCTGCATCTTGTTCTTCTTGATATGGTATGTAATTTACTATATTCGCAACATCGGCTATAACGTGTTCGAAGCTTACTATTCTTAATTCATTATATCACGTCGCGGAGCCAACACTCGTTGCTTTTGTCACGTTTTGACACAAAACTCATTTCGTTGTTTATTTAAGAATATTACCTAAAATATATGGAGAGTAATCTGGTACAAGGTTTGCTACGATAGCTGAAAGTAAATCATTTTTATTATCTACAAAATAGAAAAGAATAAAGAATGATACAGCTATGTAATGGTTTAAAACAGTGATATTATGTTTTTCGATGGCGAAACAAAATAAATCATTTGAATTCGTATTTTCGACTTTACTGATAGATATGGCGTATTAAAAAAGTCTAACACAATCGTTGAGTGCATCTTGCTCCTCGTGCTTTACTACTATTTTATATTTCATCTTTTAAGTTTAGTAATCACAAATCATGGGTCCGCGTTACAAACTAGGCTTATAATACATCAATGTGCAAATTAAAGATAATATAGATAGACTAGAACTGTGAACAGCTCCGAGCGTGGCAACGAAACCTTATCACATGACTTTTGTCGACGACTTCTCTCATCAAATTTTGTTGACGAGTTGACTTCTGTCGACATGCTGACTGGTGTTCATATTTACTTCAGAATGAAGATATTTCAATCTTCCATTAACATTCATTAAATTGGCTCACAGGGGGGTGGTGGGGGTTTCCCAGTATGCAAGAGAGCATATTATGTTAAATTTTTGGAAAAGGGTCCCCACAAACCTAGATGAGCTACTGACAGTTGAAGGTTTCCACATATTGTTGAAAGAAAGCCTCCAATTTACATAGTCTGCTAATTTAGGTTTATAAGAGATACTCTCCTGTAGAAACACCTGCATATTTTGTAATTTGAGTTCTAACGAAGAATTTAAAATATATATACTGAAAGGCAAAAGAAACGTCACTTCTAAAAGTACTGGAAAAAATTAACTGACTCTGTTTCTGCCGTGTTTTTTTAGTCAACTATTTAGATTTGACATTCTACTGGTCCTTTGTTGCCTTAAAGTTCAGTTTACATGTGTGTTTAAAATGTAGTGGTTTGCCCAAACGCAGTCTTCTAAAGTGAAATGGGACCCAGTTGCTGAAAAGTCTCGTCAAAATCATGATGCACGTGAATATCGTGGACGGTATGGTATAAAAGGCAATCAAAACCGTCAGGCTTACATTCGTCATTTCGATTTATCAGCCAAGCCAAGATTATCAAGAAATGAGAGACAATAAGCGATCGGACGACTGCAAGAAGGACAGAGTGAGTGCACAGACTGTTGCAAATTCATTCAATGTCGACGTCAGAACGATACATCGTTTGTAACATCGCTACAACACCACCAAAGACTGTCCGCGTAGTAATCGTCCAAGAGTTACCGCACACAGTCAAGACCGGTACATGATACGCCAACATCTGCAGAACTGATTCCGAATGGCCACTGGAACAGCAGACCATTGGTAAGCACGAATGTGCCATCACTGATCGTACAGTCCGACCTGGCCTCACTGCCAACAACATCTTCTGCCACCACCACCAACGTGATTTGTATTTATATTAGCATTCTGTCTATATCCTGTAAATTTCTGATCGATCCATTAATTAGCTAGAAAATTTCCATATTTTTCATGCAAATATTTTCTCCATAAAAGATTTCAAAATTGTAACTTTTGCCTAATTGCATCCGATACAGCTTGTTGCAAAGAAAATAAAAAAAAGAAACCCGAGGTAAATCTGTCAACACTTGAACTCTGCAGCTTCCAAATCAAATTTGTGCACATTATGCAATATATCACTTCCGGCTGAGCACAATTGTCAATTAGGATTCCAGCCAATTAAAAAATCTTTGGTCAAAACAAAGAAACTTTACCATTTTCAGTTTATGGTAGAGAGAGATGTTTCTGAAAAAGGAATCGATTGCATAACAAACCATGACAAATCAATGTTTATTATCAGTTTGCATTGTTATGATTAATCCTGTAATTTGGTGTTAATTAATTACTTAAGAAGGAACTGTAATTAAAATTACAGAATGCCAATATACGGGGACACAATATTATTTCTTTTTATGATTATCATTATCTTAATGACCGAAGTTGACTTGAAATGATTGGTTTTGATAATATACTAATTATGTGGTTTCAAGTAAAGCAGTGAACAAATAGTATGCAGCAAATGTCATATCGCATTTGTGTCTGCGGGTTTTAAATCTTAGGGCAACGCAAATCCCCCTGAGTGAGCTTCAACTATTATGTATGATGTCTCACTTACATTGCAAATTGAACATTGATATATAGTCTGAATGCACACCATGAGGCTTCGTATTCATAAGAGACGCCTTTCACTCCATGTTCAACAAAGCCATGAACACAAAGCGGTGTCGTCTTTCGAGTATTTGTTACAAGGCTGTGTTACATTTTGATGATGAAAATGCTTATAGGAGCCTGTAGTCGAATACGTTATTAATACGTGGGAAACGGCAAATGCATAGACATACGTAAATATGCTTTTCATACATAACATAGTTATGTTTCACGTTGCGCACACCTAAAGTAATTAAGCGGCGATTGCGTGATTCAACATAAACCAGCATGCTTCAGTGGGCTTTTATCTTAACAGAAAAACGTTGCCAAATCGCCAGGGTGTGACAAGACTTTAAGGGGCAGAATGCAAAAAGGCCTTATTTTGAAGTGAAAATTAAGCTCTCGAATTGTTAAAATTCATCTCAGATTATCTACAATCCGCATGTAATATATTCGGAGGGGCATATGCCCACCCGTAGATACGGGCTCGTCAATAATTAGTATTACTTTTTAATATCAAACCAAAGGAATAGCCATACCCAACATCTTTGATAAGATAAAAGTCATCACATTCAGTGGCGTTTCTAGGAAACATCAGATAAGGGGGTCGAGCAGGGGCCATGCCACGTATTTAATATTTGCTGTGTTACACTTATTTGCTGAACCCTTACCACGGATATTTAAAAAATTTCACACTCTTACAATGCATAGCCTGTTATATAATATGTTTTCTCTATATTTCTACGTCATGCTTTTTACCCTATCATATCAGTGTCCGTCATTTATTGAACTTGCTCATCGATAGGAATATGTCTATGTAAATTTATTTTTCATGTCACAATCTAACAGGAAATACAAAATGTTGAAGATCAAATGTCATTAAGAAAAAAAATAACTTACCGTGTATAATTATAAATAAAAATATCAGTTTTTTGTCCATATTTAAAGAGTAGATTATCGTGGGGAAACTGTTGTCACCCTTCAAAATTTAACCTGACATATTTATCTCTTTTATTGTTCATAGTCACGTGATCGTCTTAGGTAAACAATTTTACCTGACTTATTTATTTATTTTATTAAAGGAGAGTAAGGATATTTATAATAATAAGTTATATGAAGAAGACTCGCTATAAATTTTTTCTTAGGATTTTAAGAACAGGATGTTTAGTGTAGAAATGCACGTTGTCACTACAAAATATCGACTTTGCTATGTTTGTAAATACTCTTTCAGCGATACATCCGTATTGTTAACGTTTTTAATCGAATGAATGTCGCAATTTCAATGTAAAATATAACAAAGGAGGAAACATGTACAGAAAAGAACACTCAACGTGAAATAAATTATGAAATATTTCTGTTGTTCCATAACCGTGAGTGTATTCATGACTTTGACTTTCTAATAATGGTTTTCGAACTATTGCCCTTGACTTAGCTGATACACGTTACATTTAGATATATATAAGCTGCAATGACTAGGACCAGAAATATGAATTTTCTTGCTACGCGCTATCACAAACTAATCATGAGTCATTTTTTTAAATGTTCATATTTTGAGTTATTGTACATACGCTTTTTATCGGAATTTCTAGTGTCGACATTCATTTTTTTAATTTCTTTTTTACGTTTTAAAATGTCACTTATTGTTGTTAAACCTAAACTATAATTAGCAGATAATGTTTGCTGCGTATAGGGCACGGAATTTTTTCAGTCTGACACATGAAATGAAATATCGAAGCTCTTGCAAAAAAATGGGGGCGCGGTAATTAGGTCACAGGAAATTCGGTCACCGGAACTTTGGTCACAGTAAAAAGGTCACACGGTAATTTGGTCACAGTAATAAGGTCACATGGTAATTTGGTCACAGTAATAAGGTCACATAGTAATTTGGTCACAGTAAAAAGGTCACACGGTAATTTGGTCACAGTAAAAGGGTCACACGGTGATTTGGTCACAGTAAAATGGTCACATGGTAATTTGGTCACAGTAATACGGTCACACGGTAATTTGGTCACAGTAAAAAAGTCACACGGTAATTTGGTCACAGTAAAAGGGTCACATGGTAATTTGGTCACAGTAATACGGTCACACGGTAATTTGGTCACAGTACTAAGGTCACACGGTAATTTGGTCACAGTAATATGGTCGCACAGTGATCTGGTCAAGGCAAAACTAGTAAAATGAAATTACTGGTAACTGGTGTAGTGATATTTATTTCATAATGCATAATATAGGGTTCTGCTTGCCCTCTGCCAGAGATGGATGGACCTTGTAGGGCCCTGAACGGTCGAACAGTATTTGGTATACCTGTCAATCTGCAGCTGTATAGTTATTGCTGATACAACCCGCCACCGGTCTGCCTTTTAAGCTTGCAAGCCATACCACCGTTTAACTTTTGCCGACTCTCACCATTCCAAATTACAGAATTCTCACTCACTGAATGCAGCCTGTGAAATCATCCAGTATTGACTTCATCAATGAAGTTGATTTAATATGTGTTTTATATATAGTCTCCACTACTCATAAATTTCCGTGCCTGTACCAATAACGTGAGCGTTTCAAAGCAGATTCTTTTCGATTTTCGGGTGGGGGTAGGGTGAGATGCTTCGCACGTATCTCACGTATCTGAAGGGCACCCATCTCAGCCTACCCGAAAATTGAAAAACGCTCAGGTCATTGGGACAGGCGTGGATATTTACGAGCAACGGTGCTAATATATACGAGCGGACGCCCACAAGGCTATACGCCAACCAGCAGCAAATCTCATCGCGGCTTTCGCCTTTTTAATAGCATCACTACTTCCATGTAGCCAATATACACAGGTGAACTAGGTTTCAATCGAATCAGAAAAATAAATTTCAATTAAAAGTCAATTTCAATAAATTTTGTGCTAAGTCGGGAGCCATAACTCGGAAGAGGTCAACGAAATCGGACATACATCAGTGGGTATTGAGATGCTACCAATATACACAAGCATGCCAAGTTTCAATCAAATCCGATAAAAATTGTAGTTTCTATCTTCTTAAGCCAATTTTAACGAATTTTGCGCTAAGTCAAGGGCAATAACCCGGAACAGGTCGGCGGAATCGGACATACATCTGTGTGTAGTGAGATGCTACCAATATACACAAGCATACCAAGTTTCAGCCAAATTCGATAATAATTGTAGTTTCTATCTTCTTAAAAAGCCAATTTTAACGCATTTTGCGCAAAGTCAAGGGCAAAGTCACGAACCTACTTAAGTTGTGACATTGCCCGTCCTCCACCATTTATTGAATCTAGTTATCA